TACCAGACTCCCTGTCTCCCTTGTATAGGATGCTGACGGGGGAGAGGGCTGGGGTTAGCAGCCATGCGGAGGAGCCTTTGAAGAGTTCTTTCCTTATTGTTCTCAAGGGGCTAAAATTTGTGAAATTGAATTGTCCATACAGTATTTTAGTTATAACACAAAGCAAATCTTTAAAATTAGTTTACCAAAAAGAGCAAACATGCTCACCTATTGTAGATGAACTAATTGTGTAAATTTTTTGATTCTATTAAGGTGCTGGAAATTGAAAACCTTATTGCTTTTATTTCATTTTTTATCTCTCTGAAAAATGCATCTTCCTGGGGGCTGAAGGCAGCTTCTATTATGCTTAGCCATGGCTAGATGTTGCCTCTAGACTGTTTAGTCTGGGGAACAACAGGAGATTTATTTCTGTGGGCATCGTATGAATCTTGTTTTCTCTTTGTATCTCTGTGATAGTGTCTTGTACATAGTAGATGGGGGAAGGGAACAAGCATTTATTAAGCATCTACTGTGTGCCAGGCACACAAATATTATCTCATTTAATCCTCACAACAACCTTGCAAAGTGGGTGCTATCATTATCCTCATTTTTACAGTTAAGGAAGTCAAGGAAGAGATCAAGTGACTTGCCTAGGGTCACACAGCTAGTGTCTAAGGCTGGATTTGAACTCAGGTCTTCCTGACTGGAGCCATAACATTCTATCCAATGCAATACCTAGCGGCCAGATGTAAGCATAAGAATTTGCTTAATAAATGTTTAATTGAATTACTATGACAATTTTTTAAAATCTTGGGACTGGACTGCATTAGCAGTTTACTTTAGAAAACTAGACATTGATTTTTTTTTCAACCTAAGCCATTAATTTTATTAAAAAAAAATTTTTCCCCATGAACAAAAATCCATTTTTTTTCTTCCTCCTCACTCCCTGCCCCAATTGGGGGGAAAACCCCAACAGTGAAACAAGAAAAATTAGGCCCCTTTAACAAGTGTATATGGTAAATAAAACAAAGTCCTGCATTAGCTATGTCCAAAAAAATCTCTGCCTCATTGGGCATCTCGAGTTCGCTCCCCTGTGCCAGAAGGTGGGCAGGAGGCCTCATGTCCTCTAGCATCTGGTCAGCCATTGTATTGATCAAGGCTCCTCAGTCTTTCAAAGTTGCTTGTCTTCATAATGTTCTTATTGTATAAGTGCAAAACATTAATTTAGAAGGCAAGACTTCATCTTGTCAAAAATCATGGCAAGTCTCCTTTATTGTAGTGAAGCAATTTTTAGTGGGGCAGCTGGGGGTACAGGGGATAGAGCACCAGCCCTAGCAAACCACTCCAGTGTGTTTGCCAAGAAAACACCAAAATAGGATCACGGAGAATCAGACACAAATGAATTTTTAGTGGCAAATCAGCTTACATTTATTAAGCATTACATTTGTGCTAAGCTCTGGAAAAGGAGTAGGTGGGGCTTGCACTTGGGGGGGGTGTCTAAAATAATCTCCAAATAATAAGTCTCTGAACTGCTGCTGCAGAATTTTTCCTTTTCCTGGGCTCCACACCTCAGGGCCTTGGCTGGGCTTCAGAGGTAAGCTATGAAGATGATTAGAGCATTAGAAAATGGGACCTTTGAGGAAAGGCCTTCGAGTTACTTAGTGCGGAGAAAGAACTCCAGAATGACTTGACAAGTTTTTAAGGACACGTGGAGTGATGCTCTTAAGGATTATTACCAGCTTTTTTTCACCACTCCCACCCCTATCCTCACCCTCTTGGACAGAATAAGAGGAAATAGACTTCAGGTGATGCTTGAGGGTGACGTTAGCTGTGAAGACAACTGTTCTAACAGTAAATCAAGCAATCAACAAACATTTCTTAGGCACTTAGTCTGTGGCAGACCCTGTGCTCGGCACTGCTTATACAAAGAAAAAGCTAAAACAGGTCCTGCCCTGAAAGAGCTTACATTCTAATGGGAGACCCAACATATGTAAGTCAGTGCATACCAGCTAAGTATGGAGTAGATGAATGGTAGTCATAGAGCAGGGGGATGAAATAAATATAAATAATAAGTAAAAGTAGTTCAATTTGAAATGAGGTGGGTAATGTTTCTGATGGAAAGCTAGGGGGCACAGTGGATAGTGTACCAGGCAGGCCTGAAGTCAGCAAGACGCATCTTCCTGAGTTCAAATCCAGCCTCAGATACTTACTATCTGGGTGACCCTGGGTAGGCCACTTAACCCTATTTGCCTCAGTTTCCTCATCTGAAAAATGAGCTGGAGAAGGAAATGGCAAACTGCTCCAATATCTTTGCCAAGAAAACCCCAAATGGGGTCACAAAGAGTTGGACACAACTGAAAAATGACTGAACAACAACAATGTTTCTAAAAGTATGGTTAAGATCTATCCATTTGGGAAGGTACAGGTGTAATCTTGATAGAGAGGATTAGGTATTTCCTAAGTCTATTAAACATGCCTCATTTGTATTGTATCTTGTATTTAATGTTGCTACAAAGGAGGGCTTGGGAACCTTTTTGTTATGTTGTTGTTGAGGACCATTGACTCTCAGGGAAAAAAGTTAATCTGGAAACATTTATTAAGTGCCTGCTGTGTGGCAGCCACTGTGCTAATTCCTGGGGATACGGAAAGAGGCAAAAGACAGTCCTCAGCCTCAAGAACCACAGATGTAAACGTAGTTTAATCTATGTGATTTTTTTTTAAAAGAGAAAACAGGGGCAGCTAGGACCTGAGTTCAAATGCAGCCTCAGATTAAGCACTTGACACTTACTAGCTGTTTGACCCTGGGCAAGTCACTTAACCCCAATTGCCTAAAAAAAAAAATTTTAAAAAGAGAAAGCAATACCTATGAAAGTCACGTGACTTAAAAAGTTTTATTGATGCCTTTCATTTTTACGTCACCGTCATTCCCAGGTGTACACCTGGTGCCTCATGTGATCCCAAAATGAGCCCTTTCTTGTAACAAAGTCAGGTAAGTATAATCAGCACGGCACAGTGATCAAATCTGACAGTGTTTGCTGCATTCCTCACCTGTAGCCTCCTACCTCTGTACTGCAAGGAAGTGCTTCCACATGTCCTTTCAGTCCACGACTGGCGTAGCAGCACTCAGTTTCTGTGTCTTCCAGCCGCTGAAGTGCTTCTGTGCCTATTTTGTGATATTTGGGATCTTTCTGTCTGTCTTTGGCCTCTTTGGTGGTATGAAACAATTTTGTCTTTTTTTTTCCCACGTGATTCCAAGTGGTTTTTTCTGAATTACCCTTGAAATGAAAACAAACCAACGAACAAGAAGCATCAATATCTCTGTGATAAGTAAGCCAGCAAAAATTTAAAATCGACTTTTACTTCTCTGCTGTGATCAGTTCTGGAAGAGGCTCCTGAGAGATGGAGAAAAAGGGAAAGAAGTGGAGGCAAGTAAGAGGGGTAGAATCAGAGAGAGAGAGAGAGAAACACACACACACAGAATGCCGCGGAAAGAGACAGACATAGAGAGGAATGCTCAGACACATCAGACTTTCATGGAAAAACTGTTCTGCCTCTGTGTTACTCTAGGCATAAGTTGGTATCCCACGGCGTGGTGCTTCTTCCAGAGGTTACTTGAAATTAAACAAAGGGACAAAGCTATAGCAGAGGCCGGAGTTTTCTAATCGCTTACATGGGTCCTATGGTTTCTACGAAATCATCTACCACTTAATGCTATCACAGCCTACTGGTAGCTAGGTGGCGCCATAGTGAACAGAGTGCAGGGCGGGGAGTCAGAAAGACTCATCATCTTCCTGAGTTCAACTCTGGCATCAGACGCTTATTAGCTGTGTGACCCTGGGCAAGTCACTTCAGCCTGTTTGCCTCAGTTCCTCATCTGTAAAATGGTCTGAAGAAAGAAATGGCAAAGTGCTCTCGTATCTTTGCCAAGAATGGGGTCACAAAGAGTCAGACATGACTAAAAAATGATTCGGCTCATTGCTTCCTACTAGATAAAGTTTTCAGTGACTTATAAATACCTCACACCAGTAATATACATGAAAAGGGAGGATTTCTGGAAAACCTGAAATGAAAACCGAACCTGAGTTAGATGCTGTTTTCCTGGATAGAGTGATATCTAAACTTCAAACCTACTTATTACCAAGAAAAGGATTCTTTATTTTCCTTAACAGTCCTTTTTCATTATTGTGGTATTCTCCTTTTTTTTGGTATTGTTTTATAACACTGGGGAATAGAGAAGTGCTGAACTTGGGGTCAGGAAGACATGAGTTCAAATCTTGCCTAAGACAAGCTGTGTGGCCTGGGACAATCCACTTAGCCTCTCTCAGCCTGTTTCCTCATTTGTGAAATGTGAATCTCCTCATCTGCCTCCGAGGGGTTTTGTGAGGACCAAATGAGGCATCAGGTGTAAAGTATTTTGCGAACCTTAAAGCACAATATGAATGTTAGTGATTTTATTATATTACATGCTGTCCAGTTGTTTTTCAGTCATGTCTGACTCTTTGTGACCCCATTTGGGGTTTTCTTGGCAAAGATGTTGGAGTGATTTGCCATTTCCTTCTCCAGTTCATTTTACAGATGAGGAAACTGAGGCAAACAAGGTTAAATGACTTGCCCAGGGTCACACAGCTAGTAAGTGTCTGAAACCGGATTTGAACTTAGGAAGGTGAGTCTTCCTGACTCCAGGCCCAGGGTTCTGTGCACTATGGCACCACCTAGCTGCCCCTTATATCACACAAGTTTACGTAAAGGATGAATTTGTCCAGAGCATCTCAGTCATGTTGAATGGGAAATACACACCAATGGAATCTCATCTCTTTGAGTTGAATGGCTGTTCTCCTTGACAAAACCCAGAGTTCAAATGGTGCTCTGGACTGAACAGGTGCCATGCTCTGGTTAGATAAAGCAGATTCTACTAATTTGTTCTATGAAATGTGTGATAAAAGGCCAGGCCACCTCTCCACCCCCCCCAATGACTTGGGGCCCATAGGCTCCCAGCTGATGAGTCCTCTTTTTCCTCCTAGGATTATTCCCATGTGCTGACCTGTGTTACTGAAAGAGAAAAGTTCATCGTGCCCATTAAGGCTCGAGGTGCTCGGGCCATTCTCGATTTTCCTGATGAGCTGAACTTTGGCGTTTGTCCCGTCAAATACAGCACCCAGAAGATTCTGCTGGTACGGAATATTGGCAACAGGGAGGCCGTGTTCCACATCCAGACTGGGAGGTAGGCATTCCCTGGCTCTGGCTGTGATTGATTACAGCTCCACACGAGATGCAGTCAGCACCCCTAATCTGCAAGCAGAGCAATACATATTGAATTGCTTCCTTACAAATTTTAATTAGCCATTTCTCCCAGCCTTGTCAAGAAGGGAAGAATGAATAATTCTCTCTCTCTCTCCTCTCTCTCTCTCTCTCTCTCTCTTCTCTCTCTCTCTCTCTCTCTCTCTCTCTCTCTTCCCCTCTTGTCTCTGTCTCTCTGTCTCCCTCTGTCCCTCCTCTTGTCTCTGTCTCTCTGTCTCTGTCTCTCTCTCTCTCTCTCTCTCTCTCTCTCTCTCTCTCTCCCCCTCCCCTTTCTCCCTAAAGGGAGTCACTCAGCCTGCTATTCAGAAAAATAGGATGACAGTTCAAAGACTAGTGTCTTCCATGCGTTCTTTGTCCATTTAATCATACTGCCTTGGCCTCACTGGTGAGCATGGCTTATGTTCTTAAAAAGCAAGAGCATGACATTTGAAGGTAGACGGGACCTTTGAGATCACCCAAGAGCTAGACTGATGTAGCATCTTAAGGTTTGCAAAGTGACTTACACATGTTACCTCGTTGGCTCCCAGTCCAAATCTTCATTTTACAGATGAGGAAACTGAGGCAGGCAAAAGTTAAGTGACTTACCCAGTCATATAGGAAGTAGTGGGGGGGGTGTTTCTGTACCCTGCCTCCATTTGGATACCTCCTTCCCCAATAGGTGGCCAATCTGGCACAGTACGCAAAGCACTGGGTCTGGAGCCAGAAAGACCTTTGCTCAGATACTTCCTAGCTGTGTGACCCTGAGTAAATCACTTACCCTCTGTCTCAACTTCCTCATCTGTAAAATGGGGATAATAATAGCACCCACTGCCCTGGGTTTTTGTGAGGATTGCATGAGATAATATTCATAAAGCACTTGGCAAGCCTTAAAAGCCCTAGATAAATGCCAGCTATTATTATTATTTTTATTGTTGTTGTTGCCGTCTTCCCAGGTCTTCAGATTCAAAATCCGCTATTGATCCTGACCCGTCATTTTGTATCCTGGTCTTAGGCAGTTTAATTGTTAAAAATAAAGTCAGTCAGCAAATATTTGCCAAAAATGTGCCATGAGAGGCATTGTGTTGAGTGCCATGGGGGAGCTAGCAAGTTGGCGACATGGCTCTTCTTAAGGAGGTCACCTGATAGTTGTATTATCTTGCAGCCTAAGGCACTGTAAGTGTCAAAGTAGCTGTGAGATGGAACCTGATTCAGGAGTTTAGCTTCAGGATGAAAAACCCTCATGGTGAAGGTCGGCCTGGAGGAAAGGGAGGATTGGGAGAGCTAGAAAGCCCAGAAGAAGGTGCTGTGGGCACGGTGAACACTAGTGTGGACGTGAAGACCTGGGGGCCTCCATCCTCCCTTTCCTGTCTATCTAGCGGTCTAAGGTTGCTTTCTTGGGGGCAGGAGAAAGCCAAGGGGATGCTCTATCATGGCTGCCTGTGCCCCTTCTATACAGAGAAGCTGCCAGCCCCCACAGTGCCCACCACGTGAACTCTATGCTTTGGTCATCATGCTTCCTCATTTGGTTGGAGGTGGGAGGGTGGGACACAGGAGGCTCTTGGTCGTGTTTTCTGGCCATACCCCTTCCAGTCTTGGAAGCAGCTCCGTGCTACGGGAAGCTCCATTATCCTCAGCTTTGTTCTTTCAGATCTCATGGAGGAGTCATTCTTCTTCCCTCTAGGAATCATTGTCTGTTGGTCACATTCCAAGTGATGTGGACTTGAACCCGTTGCCCCTAGGAATAGGAACAAAGTGGGACTCAAGCTAACTATGGAACAATGCTGCACTCTTCAGCCTTTTCAACTTTACATTTAACTGTAAAGGGTATCAGTCAGTCAACAAGCATTTATTTAGTGCCTACTGTGTACCAAGATGAAGAGAGGAAAGAAAGGGGGCAGGGAGTTCTGGACGACACCAAGTTCCTGGGCAATGCCAAGTTCTTCTCCTGGAGAGAGGAGAAGACTTGTGTTAGACAACATCAACTTCTTGGATCTGGTCTTCTGGAAGGAAGATAAAGCCTGTGGCCCTGGAGCTGAAAGAACCACCAGGACCTAAGATCCAAGGTTCCAGAGCAAAACTGGATCTTGCCTGTTGACTCTTGTCCCGCTGACACTAATGGTATGACTTTGGGCAAGTTGTCCGGCCTCCACGAGTCTTTATTCCCTCATCAGTAGAGGGAGGAGGGTTGACTAGACAGTCTCTTGAGAGCTATGAGCCTGTGAGTTATTCAGACCAGTCAGGCCAAATGGAAGGGGGATATTGAGTCTCGAGCAGTCCCAGAATGCCTCTGAAAACCTTAGGGTAGCATTACATGTTTGGAGGAAGGTGAGGAATTGATTCTCTAGCTGCCCCAAGTGCAAAATTCTCTTTGGATGGAGTCCTAAACCTTAGTCATAAGCCTGGAGAACCATACGGTTCCTAGGGGGGTGTGGACTTGTTGAATGAGGGCTCTCTCAAGCATTTTTTCCTTTCCAGTAGAGTCTCCACCACAGAGTAATGCCATGGATCTGGCTCTGCTGTTCATTCTGGTGGGTCTCACCAGAGAGGGAAGGAGAGATGTCTTGACTCCTTATAGACTCCTATGAATGTTTTGTGGTTTTTTGTATTCTTTTTTAGGGGTGAAATGAAGGCTGTCCTATATCCAGTATAGATTGTTACCTTGAGTACTAAGGGACCTTTTTACTTATAGAGACTTAGATATAACCAAACTCCAAGGCTCTCAGAGAACCCTTGGGTGGAGGCCTAAGCCAAAGGAAGATGATTTATGGGAACCACTCCAGGACTGAACCCAGCTACGTAACTTCCCAAAGGACTTTATCACCTATGGCTTGTCTTTTTTTATTCTCAGGATAACCATATGAGATAGGTAGGGGGGTAGGTTTTATTATCTCATTTTACAGTTTAGGCAACTGAAGCTTATTTAATTGTGACTTGTCTAAAACCACGTAGCCATTAAAACAGGATAATAATGTTTAGTGCTGAAAAGGAACTTAGAGAGAATTTTGTTCATCTCCCTTTTCCACACATGCCCATAATACCCAAAGTGACTTATTCAAATTCATATAGGTAGAAGAGAGCAGAAACCAGAGTGGAATCCTAGCCCTTTATCTCTACATCTGGAGGTTTTTCATTATACAATGCTTCTTCTGTTTAGGAATGAGTACTTGAAATACTTGGAGTATCTTACTTCAGAGGAACCCAAACTGAGCTTTCTGCATAATGTCTCTGTGAGCCTCATCATACTTCTAGAATTTCTAGAATCTAGAGAGAGACCTTAGGATCATCTAGTTCAATCCTGTCATTTAGCCAATGAAAAATTGAAGGTCAGATAAGTACTACTCACCTTAAGTCCCAATAGAATATGAAGGGTGGATGGACTTCCAGAGCCAACCCAGGAATGGGGCCGCATGACCTGAGCAGTGAAATCTTGTTACTCACTCACCAGCCCAGCCTTCCCAGCTGTGCCTCCCAATTATCCTCCATGGTCAGTAGGGTGGTAGTAAGTATCAGAACTAGGTCTTCTGACACCAACACCAAGACACTTTCTATTATTGCTGGTGAAGTGGGAAAGGATGATGACAGGACTGATTGGTTTACCATGAGTTAGGGAGGACGCATTCTCTTCCATTACTTAAAATAAATGTGGTATACCACAAACCACAGGCTTCTCAAAATGTGCCTTCATTTGGAATGTTTCACCAGGAGAAACAGGTTCACGATGAGTTTGGAAAAGAAGTATGAGCAATATACCTAATCTGGAATTAGTGCTAAGCCAAAGCTTCAAGAAGCCACAAAGATTTAAGTTCCATATATAGACACAGCCAAATATTTGTTTCATAGATATAATGGTTAGGTTACCAAGAAGGTCAGTCTATGACTATCCTATTCTCTCTCTCTCTGTCTCTTTCTTTCTCTCTCTCTCTCTCTCTCTCTCTCTCTCTCTCTCTCTCTCTCTCTCTCTCTCTTTCTCCCCCTCTCTCCCTCCTTATCCTTCATATGAATAAACCTTCTTTAGTCTAGATGCCAGTGAACAATCATTATATTAAGTGTTTACTATGTGCTGGACTCTGTAGTAAGCTCTAGGGACATGAATATAACCCTTCTGGCAAGGGATTGGCTGGCCACAAAACCTTGGGATTTGTAGTTTTTGTAAGTTTGAGAAGAAAGGAAACTAAGTCAAGATGAGGCCATGGGGGGGCGCACGAAGGTTTTCACATATAGGATGGAAGAGCTTGGGACTCTAGAGGGGACAAGGAGAGGAGAAGGGGAAGGCTGCCATCATCCGATGGCCACAGCCTGTGTGTGTCTGCCTCATCTGCAGACCACAAGAGATGACTTCTAAGTGGACAAGGAGAGAGGCCTGTGACTGGTTGCATGTTTGTTTATAATCTTGGGCACCGGCTACTCTAGAAGTGATTAAAATCTGTCCATGAGGAACCGGGTTCCTATCCTGCCCCTGCCTTTCACTTAGTTGTAGTTTTAAGAGTATTTCAAATTTAAAGATTTATTATTTAAAAGATTTAATTATTTAATATTATTAATATATTATTGACACATTATTACATATTAATAATACCGTGTTAGTATTACTAATATATTATTTAAAAGATTTAATATTACTTCTCACAAACACTTGTGTTGGACTTGTCTTTATATTGCCCGGTATCCCTTTGTTTGTGGTAGGGAGGATATGGTGGGAGCCAAATGAGAGAAGGACCTTTCCTAATGGAAAGCACATTGTTAGACAGTTTTAGTCTAACTGGGATGTGAGCACAAGCCATTTCATAACTATCCTTGCAAGGGCATGATGACTACCCAGGCAGGCCACCTTTTGTAGGTCTGTCCCTAGACATGAGCCTGAGAGTAACTGGATGTTAGACAAAGGAAGACGAAGCTGCTGTCCCTGCCTTTAAGGAGCTCACAGTCTAGCAGGGAAAATGACCT